GTAGAAATTTGTTTATTGACTCGCTTTTCCTACTCGCCTGTTCAGTAGGGAATACGACTACCTTGAGTAGAATTTTGAACCACCTTTCTACTTCTATAAATCGTCGAAATTCTTTCTCGTACGCTCTTCTACAGATAAAATCTACACTGTATTCGATATCAGATTGTTTTACTGTGTCCAATGTTTATAGTATTTAGTTTCTTTATCTCTTTTTGTCATACAGAAATCACTTTTAATCCGAAACTCATCTGTAACTTTACTAATAATAGTTTTAAGATTTAATAGCTTTAAGCTCTAAAAATGTTCATTGTATAGATTTTGCTATACACTGTATTTTGCTATTACTCCTTTGAATGTTACGTTTTCAGTGTCATTTCACCAGAACAGAGTTATATCAAACAAGATTGGTGTAGCAGTTCTTATAAAAATCGAATGTGTTAGTGCAGAATTGAGGCACATGTATTATCTGGCACTTTTCCTTGGTTTCCCTATTCATTTGATAGCATTTTCAGTATCATGAACTTTATGATAGTTCATGATACTGATCCATTGCCATAGAAGTTTATGAATATCCCCAATTTCATTGTTTTCACCAGAAGCCTTACTGCAGACATTATTCAAAGTCACTACCATAAATAGAAATGTTTAAATTGTTTAGTTGAACTCGCGATATAATCTTGGTACGCACTGTTGTGAGCAACTGAAATGCTTACATGGATATCTTTATGCTACAAGAAAGATGAATATTACTGGAATTCTAAGTGGTGCTTCACATTAGGATGTAAGTAATCTACTTCGACCTACGCTATAGCCTATTGTCGGTTTCAAATTATACATTTAATTCAACATCCAGCAAACATCAAACAAAAATGGTAACTATCGGAATACTTAATGAATTATTTAGGCCTTTTTTAGGCAAATCTATGTATCAAGTTCAATTTACTGAGACTCTAAGCGCAGAATAAGTGTCAGGCAGAAATCTTCATAAAAATATTACATTGTCATACTACATAAGCTGCCCTATAAACTTTATCAACTTCCGCCTACTTATCCCTGGTGAAACAGGGAGTTAATGCAACTGCGACGCAACCCTGACATTAATAATTCAATACAACAAAACTGATAGGCGACGTGACCATTTCAAAGCTATATTCAATTGATTATAACAAAATTCTCAGAAAGTCAAAGAGAACAGCCAAGCAAAAGTATTACTGTCAGATCAAAAGCGTTACATAAGCCGCATTCCTGCAGAAGCCACCCATTAGCTGAAATTGCCAATAATCTTTTTGAAAGGTTTTCTAAAGTCACGTTAAACAAAAGGTAAAAACTACATCAAATAAGTAGATTTTCTTAATAGCACTATGTTGTAGACGTCTATTTTAAACATCTGACACGGCTTATCACACTATCCAGAGATTAGCAACTCAAATATATGATGTCCTATGATGTGTTTGTAGAATAATTTGGAAGTCGTTAATAGGAACCCAGCCTTTCACTTTTTGAATAACGTGCATAAATGCAGTTTTCCATTCAGCATCTTTAACGCGATTCCCAAAAGAAGTGAATACAATAAGGGCGAATTTATAAAAGTTGCCCGATGAGTTTGGTTAGTTTATCGATATACTGAACTTGAAGTTTGGCAACATGATTTTAGCGTTTAAGAATCCAAACGTGGTAATTTGACCACCAATGTCTTGTTGGAGTCCCTATTGTAATTATGCAGCAGGATTTCTTCATAAAGTTTAAAACAATTCATACATTGACTTATAGATTGCTAGAATCAATGTGGAAGGTATTTATTGAGTTTCTTCTTCTTTTGTTATAAGCAGGGTAATATTTTTTTAGGAATTCTTTGCTGTTGAATTCCTTTGAATGAAACATAGATAATTTACTATATGCTTGACTGTTTTGACACAATACTTTCAATTGTTTTTCTTAAACCTAGTACTCATATCCATTTCACTTAGGTATGAAAGTATTTTCTACTATGTCCGAATTTCGAAAAATATTTTTTTTAAAAGGAGTTTTAATAGAATTCTTCCTAATTATTAGGGTAAACTTTAAATAAACAAGTTAATCAAGTAGTTTAAAATCGTATTGAAAAGCAAGTAAAAGAAAAAAATTTAGGGACAGAAATCGTGCTTGTGGAACCCATATACCTGTAGTGGGAAAATAAAGGGAAGTTGTCGATATATAGGTATTGAATGACATAACTTGGATTATTAAAGTTAGATGTGATATACTATATACTAATATAAATGTATGTATGTGATAGTAGTAGGCTGTATAATAGGTTCACCACTGGTTGTTCGTGCGATATTAATGAGATTGAGAATATAGAAGACTGTTTGGGCCGCTTTCCAGATATAGAAGTGTTTCATATACTGTCTTGAAATAAAACCATAATATCCTACAAGGAGATTAATAATAACTACACAGAATAAATCGGCAGTTCAATGGTCGATGGTAAATATTTTTATAAAAAATTGTATAACTAAAAAAGATAAGATTTAAATAAAATCATGAATTTTTATTTAAAAATAACAAACGTCATATTATGTACGGTATTATACTAATTACACTTCAGCACAGTCGTTAATTTGTCATTAAAATTTGTATTTATTTATTTAAGCGAGAGATTATACCAAATACAAAAGTCGAATTCACAAGTATAAATACACGTTCGTACATACATACAAATATGATTACATACATACGTTAAATTATGTTAAGGCTTTTTTCATTAGTTTGTATAAGGCAACAAGTAGATATACAAGTCATTAAATCTGGATTAAAGAGGAACCTTATGCTTTATCGTGGATTATTTAAGTGCTATAGTAGTTTTCTGAATATCTTTTAGTTATAGAATTGCTTTTTACTTTTGCGACAAACTGCAATTAATTACGAACTTAATAATTACATATTTTAAAATCACTATTTTAATTTAATTTTTTATACGTGATTATTAACTCACATATGTATTATTTGTGATTATTAAAATTTAATAATATTTAACAGCAAAGTATTATTATTTATTTATTAAATTTTATTTGTAATAAAGTTCTACGACTCAAAGCCAGGCGATGATTAGTCATTATCTTAATTAGTTAGTCATTACCTTAGCTATTAGTCATTAATTTAGATTAAAAGACAGAAAGGGAATACCATATAGAAAATTTATTAAGTTAAATTTAAATGAGAACGTATTGGAAATTCCTTTACGACATACTTCTGTAAACGATGGGTCGTTTAAATACAAAAAATTTTTTCATAACGAAGCCAAAACAGAATCCATAATCGATTAAACCATGCACTAATCCACTAAAATATTTAAGGATAATTAAATGTAATAAATCAATGCGTATAAAACAGATGTACAAAGTATAGAGATATGTTGTATACAAAAATGTATTAATAATAATATAAAAATAATATTTTATATTTACATTTTAAATTGTACTCAGCATCATCACCAGTTGTACATTTTACACATCAGAGTAAATGCACTATGTATACATCGTATACACATACATATATACCAGAAATGAATTAATATTTTATTTTCAAATCAACGGGAATTGAAAATTAAAGACTTTATTAAACAAGACCAAGATTAAAGATTCAATGCAGAAAACTCGAAAAAGTGCGTTCTGAGATTTTCAACGTGTATGCATTGTTGTGATATGGCACTTTTAAACCGCAAAGACAACACTTTATATCGCGAAATTTAATGTATTTATTCATTTGAGACCTCCGGCTGAGAAAGCAACAACAATACCTGAATTTTAAAAAATCTGACTTAACAAAATATTCAAGCCTGTCTGCTTCATTTGCTGTTAGTTATCAACGAAAGCAACAGCAGCTGTAATGCTGCCATAAATACTACGGCCACAACACTAACAACACCAACAACACCAACAACACCAACAACACTAAAAGCACTAACAACAATTACTGACTAAAAAAGCGGACGGTTCATTTATGCCCCAGGCACTGGCCATGAAATTGCAGGGTGGTATATCAAAAATTAAATTTTGCATCCTATTTGGGAATTTGTCTTCAAATTCTCTGTTTGTTCTACGTTCTAGGTTGGCCTGCACGGATGCCCTACTATTTTAATATTATACTTTAAGGTGTGTGTAGCGACGTTTAAATCTGACCGCTCTTGATTATATGAATCTTTATTTAAATGGTTGTTTGATTACCAAATTTGTGTGTGTTAAAATTGGTGCCCATCTAACACACTCCGAAAGGTATATTAAGGCTAATTTAAGAATTAAGTTATATTGACCGCGTTAATTATAACGCACACATAACCGCACAGATGCAGTTCAACAAAAGAACTGAGTTTTTATTTGAACCTGAACGATTTGTGTAGAAAAAGGTTGATTAGTTTTAAAGTTTTGGTTAACACTTGCCTTCAAATTAGGCTAAGGCAACACATATTCCTAATTTATGTTGTATTAAATAACTTAATTTTACGCCCTGGTAGTAACTCTATATTAGGATTAACCCATTTCGGCTCAAACGGTAAATTTCGTTATCAGTATTTTAGTCAAGTATTTAGTTTTTCTATATATTGGATGTGAAAATGATTGAGTTGTATTATTTATTGCTATATTTATGAAAAACAAATAAAATTTTGCAGATTTCAAAAATTTTTTAATTGATTGTAATTAAACCACGAGAAAGTAACCTTTAAACAGTTTGTAGTAGTTAATGTATTATACTGTTCAGATGAAAACCTAAAGTTTACGATATATATTTAATGAATTAACCGATAGCTATAATGATAACGATAGCGATAACGATTGCAATAATGATAACGAAAGCGATAATGATAACGATAGCGACAGCGATAGCGATAGCGATAACGATTGCAATAATGATAGCGATAATGATGACGGTATCGATGGCTACAACGATAGCGATACCAAAAGCGATAACGATAGCAATAAAGAAAGCGATAACGATAACTATAACGATAGCGATAACGATAGCAATATAACAATAATTATTATGATACTGATAACGATAGTGATAACAATAGCTATAACGATCGCGAAAACTATAACGATAACGATAACGAAAATAATAACAAAAGCAATAACAATAGCCATTACGATAGCGATAACGATAACGATAACGATAGCTACAATGATAACAGTAACCATAGCGTTAATGATAGTGATAACGAAAGCGATAACAATAGCTATAACGATACCGATAGCAATAACCGTAACGATAGTGATAACGTTAACGATAGCGACAACTATAGCGATAACGATAGCAATAACGATAACAAAAATGATAACGAAAGCGATAACGATAGCAATAACGATAACGATAATGATAACAATAATGATAGCGATATCGTTCGGTATCGTCTGATATTGTCCTATATGATATGAATATTTTTTTTAAACCAAAAGTATTGCTGCTACTGATATAAAAATTTATTGATATTTGTCCATAGATAAGAAAATAACAATAAAAAATTGTAATCCTTCTTAAGCTATGAAGTAAGATTTTGAAATAAACGCATATAAAGTGTTCTATTGTGATCCTTATTTTGAAAAGATGTTTTACTGAACTATCATATAAGATATTACATGGTTAGATTTAGGCTTGATAATTTTTAATAAGGATGGGTTTATAGCCGTTAAAATTTCTTGAATTGTGAATACTTACTGCTTGGATTTAACGATTTAACCTATTTTTGTGCTGAGGAGTATTTTTCAATGAGAGAATATGTGTTTACTGTCATATTCAGTTAGTGCAGTTCACTACACTATATACGACATATACGAGTAATCTGGAGTTTTGTTTATAATTTTAATTGCCAATTGTTGTTGCTTTCAATGGAAAATGAACAGCAAAAATTATAAACTAAACTCTTGAATTCAGTATAACTCTAGAAAGACAGATTTTGTGCATTCAAAAAATATCACTGCATTAGGTAGTGTTTAGTAGAGAGGTGTAATAGAAGCATACTTTTTGGAAAAAGTCGAAGGCAGGACACAAATCATTAATTCTGATTGGTAGAACTATATGATCATCAATTTTTGTACATGTAAAAATAAAAATTTGAATTTAGAAAATATGTGGTTTCAATAGAATAATAGGAAGTATTTTTAGTTATGTACAGCAAAGTAACCGAAAATTACCCTTAAATGATCCAATATTGTAAGACATTCGGTGATAGATATTTGAATGATGTGGTATCTGACCGGTAATGTCGATTTCCAAATTACACATTGAAATAAAAGTTTGGTCAAAATATCGTTTAAAGGGGTATTGTGTTAATGATAACTTTTGAAACCAAGAAAGGGATAAACTTTTATATTAATTGAAGAGTTTAAAATGAAACAAAGCATGTCTTAATAAAACACGTAACTTATTTTAATGTAATTAAAAAATTACATCTATATTTAGCATACATTTAATTACTATTTTCATTTATTGTGTATTATAATTTAGTTTCATGATTTAATCATTACCTTAGTGGGAGATCAAGCCATATATTCTAGTTCCCCAAATATGCTCAGTTTCATATACGGGAATGGGTGTATTTAAGTATATTGTAGAGAAGAACCTGCTTTATAATTTTTTATAATTTATAATTTTTTAATTTAAGTTTAAACACGAAATTATATGTTCTAAGTTTTCAAAAATGTGGGGTAAGTACACGTTTTTCAATTTTACAAACCAGCTCATTGTGTTACCCCAACTCTAAGGTTTGTTGGTTATCTAAAAATATAGTAAATCAATAGTTTTAAACAAATAGCCCAATTTGTTGTTATTTCCCAAAGATAAAACTGTTTAGTTCTGATAATCACATCATATTAAATACTTAGATAAATTGATTTACCGTATTAGTTCATTGTTAAATAACGCTATTATCTCATAGCCTATGATCCACACTTCAGCTTTAAACATATGTTTGAATTTGGACTACCGGACTTGCAAAAAATAATATTAAAAGTTTATGCGAAATCGTTTAATGGGATCGGACACTGGACCGGAATGGGTTAATATAAATTTTTAAGCACGTCTGAAAATCGGACAAAACAAGTGCTTTTCCGCCACATTTCAAATCTGAGTACAGTTAATCTGAATAAAAAGCATATCATCATTGTTTGGAGCGAAGTATCTAAATCCGAAGCAGGGTGCGAATTGAATATGTTAACGTATCGTCTGTACAAATATTAATATTCTTTTATCGTACAACTCTGTCATATATGTTACATGGGGAGAATGATATGAGCATTCTTCTGTCTTCTTTAAATTTATCTTATTCCTCTTCCAGCTCTTTAAAAGTATTCCTATTTTTAAGTGCTAAATTGACTGTTAAAGTTTTTTGTAAAATTATGTAGATAATTTTGTCAGATATAGTGCGATATGCATAAGACATCCTTCTGGCATGGAGTCTATGCTTTTTTTGGGAAAAAATTATTATATTTGCGCAGATAACCATCTATATTTGAAAACTGTTCTATTTATCTTTTGCTTAAATATTAATATCAGTATCAGGATCTTCAGTATTAGACATTAACTACGATAGAGCAGTAATTGTACTGGACACTGTTATACTGATGACTTCAAAGATCATTTTTGTATCCAGTATTATTGAATCACACTTTAAATACGACTGTGATGTTTCATGCGAGTTATATACAGTTACATTTAGTCCATCCCAAGAACTTACTGTACTTGTTAAATTGTCTTAATTTTTTGAAACAGTGAATTTAGGAACAGGGTTGCTCATTTAACGTCTGATTGTGTCACTATAATACATACAAAAAAGTGGGTCTCAGTACCAATCCTTTAGGAACAGCTTCCACTATCATATCTGAAGTCTGGCGGAAATTATATATTTCAATATTATACTAGTTTTATAGCTGCTATTATTGGTCCGCGGAAGATATTTGATTTCCCTCCTATCAACCATACCTGGGAGGTATTCCCCTATCCGCCATCTGGAGACGCGCCCTCTAAAGATGTTAGACTCCTCCGAGGGAAAAGAATATTTTCATCTAACTATAACCCTGTTTTCTAAGGTTGGCTTTTTGCTCCTGCTACATAACGTAAGATTTATTCAAGGAATGTGATCAAAAGTAGTCTTAATACGTACACAAACAGAGAGCTTAAACGAATTGTGTGTCCTAAGTGCGGACTTGTCTTGTTTTTCTACCAATTTATGTTTCTACGTAGTCTTGATTTGTGCAAGAGTCCGTGATGGCGTTTCTGTATTGAAAGTTATGGCATTTGTTGGCATGTCTTTATACTGTTGATATTGCTTAAACGTTTGCGCTCATGCTTCAAGAAGATTATTGCCGGCCGTATAATGTTCGTTCTTGTTTCATAATCCACCATTTTCTTTGTCTTAATCAAGTCATTTTTTAACTGTTAATTTTTTTTTTCTAAACTTTTCTTTATTTTTTTACGCGTTCTGTTGAAGTCACAAGGAACTAATGATAGTTTTCTTGGCATTAAAAAACCTATTGGACCTAATGTCTTACCATTAATTTATGAGTATCTCTTTATTTAAAGAATTAATTGACGTGGTGCTTCAAGCGATAGTCAAAAACTTATAGTGGGCTCTAAAACGAACTGATGAAATACTATATAAGGAAAAACTAATGTTCGGTTTCTTTTTCTGTTCACGTTTAGACATTTAAAACGTTGGCATAAATACATCGTCAGTAGAGGGAAAGATGTAATGATATAAAAAAAATCAATAGAAGATCAGATTACTAATATATCATTTTATCGAATTTCGGCTTCCTGTTGAAACAATCGTTATTCCTTTGAGTTAAAATGCTCGTAAGACAAATTAGACATAATTTAGTGATTTTTCCAGAAAATGACATTGACCCAAATCTGCAGACTATGAAGTCAATTATAGAAGCCTTTAATTTAATGAGTTGAATCTTCATAGAATTTTATGAGACGTAATAACCGGAACGCAGAAATAGCCAGAGACTATACAAAATGCTTTATAAGCAGATATAAAAGTATATAAAGATATTTAAAAATCTGTTGAAAGTACAGCTTAGTCATCATAAGATGAGAGGAGATTAGTTAAATGAATAAAACCCTACACAGTTTTGATGACTAAACTGTGTAGGGTTTCTAAATTGACCGGATGGCTAATATTGATTTGTTTCTGAAACTATTTCGTGTTCGTAGTCAGAGGAAAGTCTACTGGACACAATATAATTAGCTCATCATGGTGAAAACAATTCTATAAATGCTTTAAGTGATCTTAAGATTTTGTCTGGTCTATGACTACATTCCACACTTTTGGTGCGGAATTTGTGGATTTGTTAAATCCATAAGCTTAATCTTGCTTTAACTTTATATTTCAAAATGCATGGAAATAATGTAAACAACGTTCTAAATTAAAATACTCTAAAAGTTGTATTTATCATGGCGGCAAATCTTATGAATCAGCTCATCATAAGTGTGTTAGTACAGTTGAGAATGAAAAAAAAACTGAATGTTGCTGCTTTATCATTCTGTAATAGCGTCCATAATCCAACGTCATACGAAAGCATAGGTTGGATAATTTATAGAGCGTAAGTTTTGTCTGCCTAATGACGCAATAAAAGCGTTTATTGGCAATAGTAATTTACCATCTAATCTCCAGACTGAAATCATTGCTATTTGTTGCGGTTAAAACAAGGATTGTTACATTCAAACATCTTTGAATATTTTTCATGTGTGCGGAGTTAAGGTCTGGCACGGTGGCGAAGCCAGCTAGCTCGTCAGAAAATGGGGGGGTCATTTACTCCGCTATAACACATTCGAACCGTAACAAAAAAAAAAATAAAAACAATCGTGCCAGAGAATATTGTTCAAAACAACAAAAAAAATTGCAATAAATGTGATCAAAGTAGATCACCAAAAAAAAAAACAAGGAAAGTAACAATAACAAAAAAATACAAAACTATTTCCTTGTAATAATGAGTCTACCAGTATTAGTCCGTATTGTCTATGTCCTTGTCTGTCAGTTGGGACCTACCCACCCTCACTACTCTACCGTAGTTACCATTGAGCTGATGTAAAAGGTCCTACTAAATTCCTTACAGCTCCCTAATTTTCCTAGTCGTCCCTGTCCTGTCTAACTCATTTTTATTTTTACCTCAATCTAACATTGTCCCCTTCTTCAATTTCACCTGTCACCTATATCTCTTAACCTTAAGCCATCATTTGTTCTTTTATGACATGCTTAAAAAAAAAACAACCAATTTGTATTATATAACTACTATATTTATCGTCTAATCAAAACAAAATAATGTGAATTAAAATTAAATAAAATTAAATTTACATATTTTTTACGTTTAATTTATTACAAAAAAATTTTTAAATGCTAGAAATAATAAAAAAATAAAAAAAATAATTTGAA